TCCTTAAAACCTGGCTGTTCCGACAGGCCTGGGGGGCTAAAGAGCTTTGCCCCCCTTCTCGAATGGTATGGTTGTTGTGTGTTTTTAAATTTTGTATTGTTATGTTCGTCTTTTTATCCCCCTGTCTGTACCCCCTTCCCTGGCTGAATTGTGAGCCGCCCTGAGTCCCCTTCGGGGGAAAAGGGCGGCATATAAATGTAATAAATCCAATCCACAGCTCAGAGGAGCATGCATATTCTTATTTTCTGCCTCGATTCTCAGAATAACCCCCTTGAAATAAATTGGGTTGAGTTTTGGTTTGGGACAAGCTAACAAAAGTCTTGGGCTGGACTTGAATCTAAGCGCCCCCCCCCCCCCCCCCCACAGCCACCTGGGAGCTGGGAAAGGCGGTGGCTTCCCTCCCTCTGAGCCCATGGAGAGTCTCCCCCAATTTGGATCTTCAAATGCACAGACCACGGTGTACCATTGGTGGTATCAAAGTACCTACTACTAATAGGAGCTGAGGTCTAACACAACCGGAGGGCAGGCACCAGGCTGCAAGGAACTGACTTGGGAGGATAAGTCGTTTGAAATGCCACAGGGCAAAGGCGCTAGTCCGCAGGATATCCACGAGGGCGCCTCTCTCTCTCCTCTGGGGAACTGAGGCATCTGGTGAGATGTACAACAGGCAGTTGACAAGATAGCTGAAAAGGAGGCCACCGCGAGAGAAGAGCTTAAGGTAAACTGAAATAAACGGCGGGGGGGGGAAACAGAGCAACGAGATGGGGAAGCCAGCGGGTCGTAACAGTGACTGAACGCCAAAGATAGGCTGACTTGGAAGGCCGTCAAAGCCGCCGCGACTGGAGCAAGAGAAGTAGCTGGAGACACCCGGCTGAGGCAGCTAACAAGACGGCCGCTTCTGGATTCCGATCCGGCCGAAACGAGAGCCACGCCTCGGCCTTGCCAAGCCAGTCGGCAGCTCCGCCCACGAGCTCCACTGCGCAGACTCCAACCGGCCCAGACGTGAAGGGGAGGGAGCAAACTTACGGAGGCAACCGGGCAGCGCGAGGCCTCACCTTTCAGTTATCGCGAGTTCTCCGGCTTTGTTGCTTTCCATAAAGAGAGAGGTGGAGGGGGGAGAGAGAGACGCTGCGCAGGCGTGCAGCTGTGGCTGCCGCCTCTGGCGGAAATGTGTTCGAATCTCGGTGTCGGTTCTGGCGGCTGGCCAAAGCGACTGGGTGGGAGGGGAGAGTTAAGGGAAGAAGGAAGGGGAAGAAGAGGAGGAAGGAAGGAAGGAAATAGAGAAGGGAGGGAGAAAAGAAAAGAAAGGGAAAATAAGCTGGTGTTACAATAGGCGGCAGAGAGGGTGAATAAAGTAACCCAAACTGTATATTACAACCTATTAAATCGAACAACAAATGTATAAGAACAACAAATGTAAAGNCCCCAGCCCTGCTGAAGCCTGGAAAATGCTGCTGGGGGCTGAAGGAAGGGGGGAAAAAATCCCCCGTTTCTGCGAAAAATGGCCAGTTTGCCACAAAAAATGAGATGGGGGCGGGGCTTCGGGAGAACAAAAATGGCTGTATTCGGTGTATAAGGCGCACCAACATTTCCATGCTCTTTTAGGGGGGGAAGGTGTTTCTTATACTCCAAAAAATACGGTAATTCTGCCCAAATTCAAAACACACCCTTAGCAACTATAAACATTATACTACATAGTATATTGCACATACCCAACCGATCATCTTTCAAAAGAATTTCTAATGATTTTTTTTCTTCAACACCACGAAATCCTACTTTTTCATAGTACACGGATCGGAAATTTCTCTGAGGATCCTCAGCCATGCCTCATTCTAAAATAAAGACAAATTAAAGTATGTCACCAAATAAAGTGTTTTACCATCAGTATATTCAACAAGAAAATGTTGCAGTACAAAATTCTGTTTGGTGTTACATTCAGTCACATTCCTTTCCAAATAATTAATTCCGCTTCCTTTTTTGCCTCTTTCCCAACCTGTCCAACCTTCCTCTCATTGGCTAGATCAGTTCTGCTTCCAGTGTTAGTTTGCAATATTTTAAAGACCTTGAAGTCTACCCACCCAAGTAATATTCATAGTCCTTTATGTGCAGGGTGAATGCAGTTTTGACTGTGCATGAACTGGAACACAGGGCAGTGTTCAGGATTTCTAAAAAAAATAAGACACAAGTCTGATGTAGTTGTGATTCTAAACCATGATGGGAAACAGGGATAAGCAGCAAAATTAAAGCCAGATTCTTCCCTCCTTTCCACTTCTGCTATTTCTTTTTCCTGCACAGTGGGTTTCATTTTCTGCACACTTCAATTATGATAAGTCATCAGATACATTTTGGGGGGTATGTGATACTGTTTTGGCTACACAGACAATGCAATTCACACTTTAATAATGCAAAAATAAGAAGCATAGAAGCATATGTTGTAGTTGTCACTAAAGGGATACTTTAGACGCTTTCAGGTTTCAGAAAAAAATATGGTAACTTCATTTTTACTTCTTTGCAATAAATAAAATAATGGGATGCATGAAGAAAGTGCATTTCCCAAGTTTAAACCTTACCTCAGTGACAGGCAGCGAACTAGAGCGAAAGGATACTTGAGGTTTATTGCTAAACATTATTAAGTTGGTGTTTTAGAGAGAAACACTGATAGTTACAGCATAGTTTGCTTCTAAAAACTAAGGTGTTTTTTTTAATAGACCCTGGAATTTTATTAAAAAACCAACAATCCTGCACAATCTAGTTTCACTACAAATTATGGCATTAAAGGATTCTTGCAAATCAAACTAAAAGTTTCCAGAAAGCTCATCAGTTTTGGAAAAAAGATTTGTAGTACAATATTTTAAAAGATTTTCAAATATTTACTAAGTGGATTAGCATTCCAGTCACAAAGTGGATTACAGTACATGGAAGACTTGAGTGATAAATATGTTAATCTTCTAAAGCAGTGGGTCTCAACCTTCCTAATGCTGTGATCCTTTAATACAGTTGACCCCCAAACATAAACATTATTTTGTTTTCTGTATTATTTTTGAAAATGTGTTTTCCAATAGTCTTAGGCGACCCCTGTGAAAGGGCCNTGGCTGGCAGATGGAATCCGGAGGAGACCCAACCTGTGCGATCTAATTGGTCTGAGAGAGGTAATCGGCTATAAACGCAGTTTCAAATATAGGGGCCAACAAAGGGCTTAAACAAGGGTATATTTCTTTTTCATTTTATCAACCCAACAGGAAATGCCCTAAGCCAGGGGTGGGGAACGATGGGCCCTTTTATGACTTGTGGACTTCAACTCCCAGAATTCCTGAGCCAGCCATACTCAGGAGTTGAAGTCCACAAGGGCTCAGTTCCCCATCCCTGCCCTAAGCGAAAGTTTCATTCCCTCACATTGACTAACAATACTGAATCTATACTGCTATACATAGATGATGCTGTCACATTACTGCAAATACCAACATGTTTTGAGCAGCCACGGCATTTAATCTCAGTCAGAAAAAAAATCTGGGTTTGTGTGTAAAAATCTTATTAAAAGAAAAAGTAATCTTCACTGACCAAAGGAAAAGTTGAGTTCTGAGGTAGCTTTCCTGATTCCAACTGATATATCCGGAGGAATACTTCAACCTGTGGAGTAGAATCTGTGATAAAGCGAATTACTTGAAGGGCACGATATACATCCCCATATTGCTCCTTTCTGTATTTCATCACAAATGCATGAGAGTCATGGTGAGGTGGGAGAATTCCTTTAAAGAAAAAGAGGAGAGATTTAGATTAAGTTCTACTTGTTCTAAGGGTGAAACATTCATCTTCATAACAATTATTCTCAGATCAAATTAAAAAAAAAGATCTAGCATTTGTTCCTAAGAAATGCTTTGGCACTGTAACTGCAGACACTACTTTGCTAGCCATATAGTACTAAAATTCTCCTTGTGCTTCTACATTTGTTTCTATTCTCAAGCTAGCTCAAACTATGCATTATATCGCAACTATTTTTGAATCAAGGTACCTAAAATACGTTCGGAATGCAAAATCTGGGACCCATTATTCCTGTGGAATTGAAATTCCACAATGTTCAGACCAGCTGTGTTTGCAAAGTTGCAGGCACTGAAGCATCCCCACAATCCCAATTGTAAACATGTGAGCAGCCAAGTTAGTGGGGGAAATTGGCAGGTAGTCAGAAGTCACTTCTGCTCCCACTGTTTTTTTTTTCCACACCCATAGTCCTTCTGTTTATCTTTTTAGGTTAAGTAAATATTGACTTACTACTGAAGTTCATTTGCCATTATTATTATTATTATTATTATTATTATTATT